CTCCCCTTTCAGGATACTTCACCTTTGGATATTCGATTCAATGTGTCATTCACATGAATAGTTTTCACATTGGAACTTGATCAAAGGCACAGTCTACGCTGCTTGCCTGGGCAAGTCAGGCCTAGTGTGCTTCTTGCTGATTGTGCGTCCTTTTTGACTAAGACCGCAAAAGAGGAGTGGAGTCATGATGAGCAAGGCGCCGTGCTAGGCCTGACTCCGCCCACAGTATCATTGTGGACCTTGCCCTGTATTTGTTTTCCGGTTTAATTGTTCACGAGTTAATGGTTCAGATGTTCGACAAAGCGAAACAATTGTGCATTTCATTCGCTGAACAAAGTGGATTCATCCTGCATAGGCAGAAAATTACAATTATCAATATGGAGAACACGGCTGTGTATGGGAAGGATACTGGTAGGTTGTCTACAATTTCAATGACATTTTAGCCCAGTAGAGCATGAAAATCATGATTCATCATGTAAATATAAGTAGAATTTTGAAGGAAACTTTGGTTGAGCCTGCTCATCTCCTACTGTTGATAGCGATCCCTTAACCTTTCCAAGACTCGGCCTTGGAAGGGCTTAGACGACCAAACCCGATTCATGGCTCCTCAATGGTTGTATGAAGCAGAAGGAGGGTCGCATTTGGCCGCTGGGGAGAGGCTCGTATTTCACCATGAGAAGGATTTTTTGATTGGTGACTTCCCCCTTTCACACGCTATTTTCCTCTAGTTGAAGGTACTGCAAGAACTATTTCTGATAGTTCATCGGGATATCTGCTCGCCCCTACCAACCCGCTCTACGACAAAAATTCGGGAAAGTTCGGCAATGTGACATGAGGGATAGGAAAGGCGATCAAGGGTTAGGCTCATGGGCACCCATAGCCCGGAGGATAGTTTGTGGAAAGCGCTTGGGGAGAGGGTGAGGGAGGTGCCGTTTCTGAGTTTGCAAGTTTCCACAATCGTGCTGGTGCGATGTGCCCCTACCAACTACTGCAGCCCTTTTAATCAGTATGAAATATTATTACTTTAAGCTCCTATTCTTACTGTATGTACCTTTCTTACAGTGCTCATTCAGGTGTACTGCTGACACCGAGGCTGATATTTTCGTCGGTATTAACACATGAGATGATTCACAGCATGAACGTTGGCCATTCATATAGTGACCGCAATATACGGGTGCCTCTTTTCTCTACACTTCTCTTTCTTTCTTTCTTCATTTTTAGAGAGGATATTTTTCTGTCGATCGGAAGTGGTCGTATGGTCGTATCTGTTTTTTATTCAGGCGTGGAATGACATCACATGCTTATGAGAGCAATTGTTAGCCACCAGCTTGCTCGACATATGGCACAAATGATAAAAAAAATCTTGTGTCCGTGACGAACGGTCCCCCCCCTCAGTGCATTGGCGGTTGCGAGCGACATCGTGTTGCGCGAGACGTAGTGTCACGTCGGGCCGCAGCACGGACTCCTCCTGACGCGAGCTCATCGAGTCGCAAAACCACGCGCGACATTTCATATTGAGAAGCAGGGATTGCCGAGTTACTGCCAATTTTCAGAGCCATCAGCAACTTGAAGCGGTTACGGTGCCTTGCATTGGATAGGTCTAGCTTTCTCCGGTATGGTCATTACCTGCAAACGAGAGGGCGTGTGAGGGGGTGCATGGGTTGGAGCGCAGCCAGTTCGACTTAGATCCACAACACCCTGACTCAACATCTGGGGAAGGTGATCGATAACGGCGCGCTGCTGCGCTCAATCCACGCTCCTTCACACGCCCTTTCGTTATCATAGGGATAAAGACTCTGATAATGACGCTCCTTTCCCTCAAATTAATGACCTGTCCCGCTCAAGCGCACGAGCTCCCGCTCGCACCTCACATCCCCTGCTTCGGTCGGGTTTAATGGAAATGCAGCTGTAGAGCAGCAGGTAAGCTCGTACGGCGTTTTCGAGGTGCGGAAGAGGTCCGCACCTCCCTCTGCATGGTCTTATTGCTGCCTCTAGTCGCTTGGACCTAAAGAGACCACATAAAAACTCATACCTACACTACTATACAATCATTCGCGCAACTAATTTTATAAAACTCTTTTCGCCACGTATTCGGGACTCTCGGAAGGTCCCTGTGGAGTGCCAAATGCGTTTTACAGAAATACCGACATTTTGAAATGTGCTGGAAGGAAAGCTTTCTTGAAGAGATGCTGATAATTTTGTTTGTCCTCTTCAGGTTTTCCCATATTCTCAACCTGGAGAATATGATGACAAATATGATTTGATGTCCACGGCAAATGCTCATATGCGACCATCGACATATGGTCTTGGGGGACCAGGCCTTAACGGTCCACATCTTGACTATCTTGGTTGGTTGCCACAGAACCGGATAGTCTACTTTGGAAGGTAGGAAGATTTGTTCCAGAAGAGTTCTAGCACGAGCTGATCCATTCATTTAAAGAGATGGTCGCAGTAACTACACTTTACGGTTGTCTTCTCTTTCCGTCCCACATCGCCTTACCATCGGATGGTTACTGGTGATGATACCGTATGACCGAGACGATCCTGGCAATGTGTATACGGTGGAGTATCGCACGCCTGTCGGTAACGATGCTGCCATCAAACAGGTACGAGTGGTTTCACGTGGAAAGTTATGCTTAGATGAGGTTGAGCTGTCATTCCGATGATGTGCATAAAGTCTAGCGCTTCGCCCGAACTCGGGCGCGTACACCTTAGTCTTCGGCCGTAGCACGTTCGGACCTTGACTGCTTAGGCTCCATTTCTCTTCTACCGTTGCTTTCGCAGGAACTGAGCTGGGTGGACTTTCGCTCTACTTCCTGGTTACTGGCTACGCATGGAGGGAGCAGACGAAACCGCCAAGGCCTGGTCGCCCTGCTTTCTGCCAACCTATCTATGAGGGAGAGGAACCTTACAAGTCCTGGAGCTCATTTCTGAAACATTTCATTACCTATTTACCTTCAGCAGTCCCACTCAGGCCAATTCTTTTCCTCCGACTTTTTCTCCGAGGGCAAATTTGGCTGAAAATTATCTTAGAGGTAATTTACCTATCGAATGCAAATATCACATCTGCCCGGTTCAGAAAGCGCGAGGCATATGGCACAAGCGCCGACGCCAAAAGGCCCTAAATCAGTAAATTTGCTGAAAACTTGTTTCCAAGGGTAGTTTCACCTCCAGAACAGGAATAGCACGTCCACTTGGCACGAAACCGCTAGGCGCCTCCACCGCTACAGGATACGGCACCACATGCTTGTTTTGACCCCGGCGCGTGTAGCGCACTCAGGAGGTTTCGTGTTAAGCGGTTGTGCTAGGTTGGGAGACACTGCGAGCCAAGCAGTGCCTATCTAGTCCCTGCAGAAGTGATTCTTCTCTTTAGTGAGGCCTGGACTCTGCAGAGGAAGAGGCCACTTGAGGAAGTTGCAGATAGGAGGGAGCTGGCCGCTCTGTCGGATGTATTCCCATTTCCTGAGTCCTTGACTCCCTTGACACTTCACTGCAGATGTGGCAATCGTGTCTTGAGCTATTTGAGTGCCGGCGCCTATGCCGGGGAGGGGGAGGGGGTACGTGGCGGCTGAAAAGCTATTGCATCTTTTTAGTCGCTGCTATAACATTTGCAGACGAATCCTCTTGCCCGGCGACTTAGCCGTAGTGAGCGCAGACAAGCCAAAGCGTGCGTGGCAAAATCCAGCTGCACTACCATAATCCCCTGCTTTCGACTTGTTTCTTCATTTTTTCT